ACTGTGACTTGCTTGAATGCAAATGAAAAAAGTGTTTCTTTGAACTAAATGTTTGTTGTATAAGGTTACACTGTCACTAGTTCTGCAGGCCCCTGACTAATAATTGGCCCTAGAATACCCTTTGAAAAACACATTAACGCCAATTATACTTACTTTTTCCAGGGTTTGTTCTTGGAAATCTTCGTTGCAGGTGGAAGTACCTGGGATTTCCACTTTCACAGATGATTCCACAGTATCCATTACTAAGATATTAACACTGTCACCAGACTCGTCGATAACCTCGTCATTTTCCGAAACATTTATCTGAATCATCGTATTTTCAGTCGTATCTCCAGTCGCATTATCRATCGTATTTGAATCATCGTTCGTCGACTTGTTGATTGCCATGTCTCGTATTATCTGTGGAAAAGATACATGGCCTTTTTAGATGATGATTATTCGACATCGGCCGGCTATATATTTTACGGTAGTAGGATGGGTTTTTTCGCTTTACATAATTGTTTATCCATAYCCGTTCATATAGTGTTTTTGAGATGACTTACTATTTCAATGTAATTCAAGCAAATCAGAACATATCTTATTTGATAGATTTTCGCACATTACTGTCAGCTGATATTCATAACAGAGTTGAAATAAATGACTTTTGTTGCGGTAAACACAACATAAACGCCAAATTGTTCTAAAGCATTTTTTMTAATTTACGGATTTCAGGAAATTAAAGTTAAAGAGYGYAAATCTTGGTTTGTAATCTATTGATTGAAATATTACGACTCATTGATCAATAAACAATGCATGATGTTGGCGCAATCTGGTCGCTTTAATATGTCGGCGCGCCGCGAAATTTTCACGCAGATGAATATAAAGGTTATTAAAAAGCAAGCAAGAGTACTGCTGATCCTAGAAAGTTATGATAGTAATTGCAATTTTGAATTCTCACCACTACCTACCTAAAATCTTAAGAGTATTATAATTTTTTTGGCTAAAGCGTAGAGAAGTTTGTGCTACTCACCTGTCGGCGGCTTCTGTCACTGATAAGTTCGTCCTGACTGTTGATTTCGGGCTTCCAAAGAGTTGGTACAGATCCCGGCTTTAGTATTCTCTTTGAGTCTTCAACATGCACTGCTCTTTCAAAGCAGCTATCCTCAAAATGCTCAGAGCACACAGTGAAACGATTTTCAGGCTCGAAGTTAATGCGGTGCGTCGTGACAAAACGCTTCCACTTCGCGCGTTCCAGCTTGTTAATCGGCGAAGAATGCACTGAAATGCCATTTTTTGGATCAGATTTATTACTGCATCCCTGAACCACACAACGATTAGATGGCATTCTTAATAGTTTTTAATTTTTGAGGAAATAATTACAGATAAAGCTCCGAATTACCGGCGCGCTACCCGTACTTCACATGTATTTCCTTAGCAAATTTCTCACGTTGGTTTGTTTGGGTTGAGTAAGTGACGTCATATCCGCTCGACCCAGACTCCCCCGAGAGAACAGAGAAGCGACAACTGATTAATGGCGGCCACGAAGAAAAACGAAAATTTAACGGACTTCTTGCGGGAATATGTAAAAAAAATGCTCAGGAAATATTTATGTAAGTAATATTAATCATAAGAGCGACTTTTTGAAGAGTTTTGAAAATTTGACCAATTTTCGTGCTAGTCCCCCTTTAATTAATGCAATTCTCTAATAAAACTAGGAAAAGACGTAAAAGGTAATGACACACGGCTGTGCAACATTGCATACAACATTGCACGAAACCGGACTGTTGCAGCGTGTGTCTACCCCAAACTTGTTGCATGCAACAAATCTGCAGTTGAATCGCGATCTACACTTGCATAGTATTAGTGTGGTATACTTGCAGTCCAGGTGTATAATATGACATAGTATTAGTGTGGTATACTTGCAGTCCAGGTGTATAATATGACATGGTATCAGTGTGGTATACTTGCAGTCCAGTTGTATAACATGACATTGTATTAGTGTGGTATACTTGCAGTCCAGGTCTATAATATGACATGGTATTAGTGTGGTATACTTGCAGTCCAGGTGTATAATATGACATGGTATTAGTAGTTCAACACTCTGTAGTATTTGTGAACATTTATTCGCAGTCAATAGAAAAACGCTCAAAAGCGTGCTTACACGCTGCCATGGTTGTAAGACTATACATCACCAATCACCCAGAAGTAACAATCAAGAAACTTTTAATTTAAGTAGCGATGAAGAATGAACATTGTATTTTTATGTTAGTTTATAAATAAAGATTTTACACCTCAACGTTTTCCTTCTTATTTGAATAATTAGGTAGAACTTCGTAGGTCTTATTGTTTAATTGTGGTTTATGAGTCTTCGACACAATAGTCACTAAATTATAATTCATAAAACGACATGCAGGCTTGGTGTTTGTTTTTAAAAGAATTATGGAAGGATGTTATCAAGGATTTGCTCAACACATAAGATTGTTTCAAAAAACATTTATTTTCATTACACATGAGTAATTACATCTAAAACTAAAATAGACTGAAAGTAGTTCCACGCATGCTATCGGATTTAAAAAGCTTGTTTGATTTCTGTATTTTCTTTGGGATGTTCATTTTCTTTGCCTCCTTGCTGTCTTTTAGCGAAACCTTTTGACTTAGGGTTCGTAGCTCGTGGATCAATTACTTGTTGGTTCTGAATTCTTGTTTGATCTCCGGGTTGGGTGGATATAGGACTGGTTTCTGCCATAACGTTGACCATCTCACTCAAGTCCGTGATGACTCTTTTCAAATCTTCAAACTCTTGAATGGAAAGAGATACTCCATACTTTGTTGGAACCTTTTCCGCGTCATGAAAATCAGTGTATTTTCGGATGTGGATCAGGATCTGTCCTTTGAATTCATTGACGGTAGCATGATGCCCTCGAGATCCTAACTTGAATAACGTAGCCATTGCGTTTCTCAAAAGTAAATTTTTTAGGTCTTGTTTGCTTGCTTGAGTTTTGGAATAAAAAATTCAAAATCCCCGCGCTCTATAAATTGGATTGGTAAACAAAAGACCTGTCCAATCTTGTCTAACAATACTCTGCTCGTCATTTTATGGTAACGATTTAATAAACAATAGTCTGCTCGTCATTTAATGGTAACGATTTAATAAACAATGGATGTGCTCGTCCTACTCGTCCAAAACTCTTGCCTAACAATAGACTCATGACGTCAATTGGTCGTCATGGTAACCCGAAACAATACCTACCCGTCGTTTTATGCTAATATGTGATGAATAATTAATGTTCCCCGTCCTTCCCCGTCCTTCCCCGTCCCCTTCCCCGTCCAAAAAGGGGGTTGTGCGCAACATAACATATAAAAGCAGCCAAAAAATCGATTGAAAGGAGTGGCTAGGCGTGGCCGTATATTCCTTACGTCAAAAGATAAGTCTTTTATTTAATCAGTAAGCTAAAATAAACACACCCAGAACCTAACAGCTACAGGAACAAAACTCTCCAACACTATCTTAGGTTTTTTYTTTTTTCCTTTTTTTTTTTTTTTTTTTTTTTTTTTTTTTTTTTTTTTTTTTTTGTATTTCTTTATTATCATATATTATCAATGTGTGATTTCGGCCCCAAATGACACAAGTCTCAAAACTTGTTTGTTTATTAATTAATTTCCTTTGAAGTTTTTAACGCGCCATCTTAATCAGTTAATTAATTAATTATGCCTAATAAGGATACAACTTGACACATTTCCCACTCATACGAAAGCCGCTCTATAACACAAATACGCCCCACGTACACCTAAAATATTGGTTGTATCTGGGCTGCCTGTGGTTTACTTTCTAGTGCTTGGGCTACCTGTGTAGTCTGCCATTTCTTGCATAAGTCTTCATGTTAACAGAGCTGGAAAACTTTGTTTTAGATTTTGCTTGCCGTATATCCTTAAATAAATAACCAAAATTCGTTTATCTTAGGACATAATTAAGTAACAGAGATTCAAGATGGAAAATCCCGAAACAATGGGTGAGTATTGTCGAAAAAACGATGAAATTTTGTATTCATTTGTGGATTTTTGAGCTTAAACTTACGTAAGTCTTAAGTCATGATCATGATGAAATTTTGTAGCCTTGGTGACTATTTTTAATCGTTATTTTTCTCTTTTTGTGGGACAATTTTACGGTATAGTCTTACTAGTAGGACCTTTATAAATGGAACCCCCATTTGGAGTTGAAAAAATAAAGAGGATGCTATGAGATATGCCATCGTAGGAAAAATCTGCAGAACCCTTGAAATCGTTCTTGATCTACCAATGTCCATAATCAGTTTTATATTGCAGTGCAACATAAGCTTAATACCCACATGATTGTGGCACATATGATTGTAGTTTACAGTATATTGATTGAATATGATCATTCCCAAGACATGTAGGGCCAATAGAATGAAATAACAAGACACAATTGCCCATTTTGGATGATATAACAAGAGACTAATGACGAATCTTTTGTTAAATCCATCCAACATGGTGGCTGTGAAACCATCAATACCTTGTGCCCGGGGAAGGGGGGTTAATCCCCTATATTCACTATACGGGTATGTGCCGCCAAACAGGGTATGGTTTTCAGCAATTCTACCCAGGAACAGGGTATATAAAATTGTACTGGCTCTGGGACAGGGTATATGAAATCATGCTCTCTCCTCTCTGGAACAGGGTATCTATTTTTGCAATACCAAAACGGGGTATGATTTTCAGCGATCTAATCTGGAAAAGGGTATAAATTTCAGCAATTTTACTTTTTAACAGAGTCAGGGTTCAGAGGGCTCAGTGGCACATCCCTACCCTAAACTAGCAAGAGTCCAGGACCTTGTGTAGTGGTTACCCTTGTCAGTTCCTCACCACCCTCAAAAATTCCAGTTCCCAGGCCTCCATGGAAACGAGCTATAAATAAAATTAAAAAAACAATATAAATCTGTATTATAATGATCCTCCTATCGCACAGTAATTCTGATTAGACTTGTAGATACATATGTCTTCTTAATAGCACTTTTAGAATGACTGCGAAAAGGTCATGTTACAGACATGGAATATGCTGTGACTGTAAGAGTCCATACCATATTTATAAAATCTTATGTTTTCAATTCCATGTACAATGCTGCATGCTTTGCTGTTTCACTGTCATTCAATATCCACTCTATATAATGGTACATATAATGCTATACTTTCAGCTTTAGCTGCCACCAATGTCTACACGGTTGATACATCAGATTCAGAAGCTTCCAAACAGCTAGTCAACCCAGAGAGAGTCCATCGACACAGTGATCCATATGACTTGGTTTGTCTAGCACAAGAAGTTCAAAAAGCCGACCAGTTTGTACGATGTGCAGCCAGCAATAAATTGATATTAATTGCTGAACAGATTCGACATCTTCAAGAACAGGTTTGTACTCTATGATAATTAGTGATATAAGTCTAGCAAGCTATAAATTGAATCTCTATTCCATTTCAGGCTAGAAAAGTACTTTTGGAAACGAAACAGGATGCAGAGCTTCACCATGCTGCATGCAACTTCAAAAAAAGAGTTGGTCAGATGTATTACCTTTACAGGAGAGCAAATAACACAACTTATTTTTCCATGTTATCTCCTCAGGTAAAGTGGACTTATGCTTTTTTTGTTAGGGTTTTTCTTGTCTTTCTCTTCACTCGTCCTTTGATGTGCTAATTAATTGTATATTATACAGTACCACTAAAATCTTATGGTAATCGATTCTTCTCTGTTTGTGCCCCTTAACTCTGGAATGCTCTTCCTTCTTCAATAAACCTTCTTACTGATATGCAACCATCTACAATTATTATAGGATGCTGGATGGGGGGGGGGGGTAGAAAATTTATATAATTTAGAGTAGCAGGGTTACGTTTTCAAATAATTCGAAGTCTTCATGTTTTGCATATTGTACCAACTACCAGCAAATTCAATTGTGGTTTAGATAAGCTCAGCTAAGTTAAAGATTGAGTTATAATATTAATTAAGCTGGTTATAATATGAAGTTTTACAGAGAGACAATAACCAGAGAATCTGGATAAAATGCTCACATCAAAAGAGAAATCTAACAAACTTTACTCTCCTATGCGTCAATTCATTTATCATCTTCAGAGTTTAAACTAAAAGTTGTGAATGGATTTAGTAATATTTTGATATTTTGTTTATTCCAAAGGAATGGGGTCCTTCATGTCCACATGAGTTCCTTGGTGCTTACCAACTAGAGGCAGACATGTCATGGACTAAAGCTGAAGACATAGCTAGGCGAAGTAAAGATATTCAAATGGTTGACCAACTTCTTTCCTCCCAAGTACCTGCTATACAGTATGTCACAGGAGTTTCTGAAAATAGTGCAAAGAAAGCAATCAAACACCATGAAAAGTCTGTTATAGAGGATATAACAGATGAAGATCATCTTGTTGAGGAACCTTTTCATTATTGAATCAGTAGATTTTACTGTCTACCAAAATTAGTTTTAATTATTTTAATTATTGTGGTGTATTTCCACTGAGGTTCAACTGCTCTCAAAACCTGCTAAAATAAAGTGGGGGGAAATTTCTCAATGATTTAATCTTCGCCTGAAACAATTAGAACTTTGGACAACAAATCCTGTCATGAAGAAATAGTAAGAAAAATCTTAATTTGGATGCTGCTTCCTTAAGTCTCTGTCCTCCCCAATTTTTTTGTCTTTTCCATACTAGTGTAAAATGTTTTAGAATGTAAGGTCCACTTACTTCATGTTGTACTCTCTGGTGGATCATTGCTGCTGGGAAAAAATCTGAGAAAAATTGAAACTCTGTTACTTCATCTTAAAACAGTCTCTCTCAGTACTAATATGATAAGAGCACAGCACCTGTGCACACTTTCAGTTGCATCATTTCTATCTAAAATAACGGTTATTGTAAAATTTGCTTGCTGTGCTGTGTGGAGTTATAAAGCACTTGGGGATTCACAGAACAATCGGGAAGTTTTATATCTGAACACAGCACAAGCATGTATTTTCTATTTCTTCAGCTATGACTGTTGATTTGTAATATGGGCTAGCTGTAAAAATTTGAATTATTTTTATAATGGATATTTTTTAATTAAGGSATTTATAGTTGTCCTTTAGGGGTTCAATTTAGGTTGAACAGATGAACTACCCGCCCCCTAGATCTATCTCCGATAAGTAATCTTAATATATCGTTTAAACCATGGCCATTCTAGGAATGTGTAGTTCCAGAAATTATCCATCCCCTCCCCCCCCCCCACCCCACCCCACAGGAATTCGAAAATTAGAATTTCTGGGGGTAGGGGGTCTGAAAAAAATTCCTTGGGGGAGGGGAGGGTATGGAAAATTTCTGAAACTACACAATCCTTTGTCACTTGCAAATACAAATTCATTAAAAATATGTTTCAATGCTTCAAATGTTTCATTAGCAATAATGGGAAAAACGTGGCTATTTTTGTTGTGGGCTAAAAATCACAAATAAACCATTATATATTAACTAAAGTAATAATTTCCCTTTGGGAATTAAGGGTCTTGCAAGGACGAATCCAGGGGTGGTAAAAGTTCTTTTGCTCAAAGTTCTCAGAATATCATTAGTAACAGACTCCCCCCCCCTTCCCTTTCCTTGAATTCCAGGTAAAATCTTTATAGCGGAGCTCCCGCGCGAGCGGAGCACTATAGGTATAGAATATGGTAAACTATCCAACTCAGGTTTCGTGGTCATCGCATGGGAACCCTGTGCGTAACGCTAAAAGTCCCGCCAGATGTACATCGCATTTCTGATTGGTCGAGCTTTCAAATCAAACGTCACTTGCAAAATGACGATGATCTTTTTTTTTTGTAAAATTGTAAAAGCGAAACAAAACATGGAAAAAAATCATGGAAGAAATCATGGAAGAAAAGAATTCGACACAGGGTGCAGATAGAGGTTAGGACATTTTCTATTTTGTTTTATTTGTAGATAACATAGCTACAATTACCGGAAAACGAGCAACAAAACTAGCATGATGAACGAGCGAAAAAAGTTTACTTGCTCTGTTGTTATAGTAAGAGTACTCGTAGTTCTTTCATGTTTTTAAAGTAATCATTTGAAGAAAAAAAACACACTAAGTTTAGTAGTATAAGTATATATCAGCGAGGGAACTCTTTGAATTCCACAAATTAAACAAATCCAAGAGATGTGTGACAAAGTTTATAGCTAAATTACCGGCAAACAAGCAACCGAACTAGAATGACAAACGAGCGAAAGAAGTGTACCTGTTTTGTTATTAAGGTAAGAATACTTTCATTTTGACTTTCATTAAAATATACACAGGGAGCCCGGCTTTGCCGGTCAAGGATTTCAAAACACCAAATGTCCAGCAGTTCCATTTATTTAAAAAAAATCCGACAAGGGGTTAGCACATACCACCAACATATGGTGGCCCACATCTCGTGGCCACACACGCATCCGGTGGCCCTTTGGCCACAACCTGACGCTCTCACAATGCCCTAAATCGAATCTGACACGATAAATCTGACGCTACCTTCACTTTGGCCTTTTCGATTAGGGTTATGTGAAAGCGAGTTTTTGTTACAATTAGTATGAAATCGTGTGATGGAATGATTATATGTTAATCAGCTCATTCCTTTGAAATTTAGACTCCCATTTTAACCTCGATTGTGCTATCTAACTCGGTACTGGCCGTGTACGACCGTTCTCTTTTTGTTTTAGCATATTATCTAGCATTGAATCGAATAAAGGAATTTGCAGAAACGTCTTTTTTAATATTCTGCTTGATAAAGATGAAAAGAAATTGCAAAATAAGTGGAAGAAATTCACACATTCCCGCCGAGCACCCATAACTGTTTCCTTTTCATAAAAGCCATATTTTTTATTAATTTCTAAAAATAACTGTATAAAAGCAGTTGCTGGAGTTATGTCAGACTTTGAACATAGATTTGAATTTGAAATAACAAAGAACATTTTTTCTCGATTCCTACACTCCACCTAAGAAAAGTCCGATCCAAGGGGTTAATCCAGGTTTGGATTTTCCACTATTTTGGATTTTGAGGCAAAAACTACCAAATTCTAAAAAAGCAAGCTTAATAGGAATCAATGGTGTAATTTGTTTTGGTTTTGTCGTACAAAGCATATGTTTTTATGAGCATCAAAAGTATGAACTCTCAATCCAAGTGTACGCCTTTACAACACACCTTCTCCACCTAAGCGGCTGGGAGCTACATTTGAATTTTTGGCACCCAAAACCTGTCGCTAACTATAGCAGATTAAAAGATTGTCCTCCCTCCACAAAATCGCACCTAGGATTTTAAAATCCAACGTGATCTCTCTTTTCAGCTGCGCTGTGACATTCATCTGCATATATGGATAAAATTCTAAGGACTGTCCAAGCACAATTTCTATATATATATTACGGATAATCCGAATATTTTGTTACCTTTAAATCTTCGCTCCTCTCTTGTCGAATCTCAAGGTCCTCGTTAAGCTAGGCTATTGCCGTTAAAAGATCACATTTGAGATCAATGGCATGGCAACAAGTATGTGCCTAGTCCGAGTACTCAGGACTGTAAGAATTTTTAAGCTTGTTTGAGCGAACAGAAAATGATGCCAGGACTAAATTAGTCTGTACATTCATTGATATTTTCACGGTCAGACATGATCTACTATTTATTACTTTTTCATGCTAGAAGTGGTAGCGAAAGTGGGATAAAATTGGTTTCCAAAAAAATTTCAAAGTCAAGGCAAGACATATGCGTGGAAGACTACATCACGGGCGGAGATGGACCTCATAAAATACAGTAAATGTATGTAATTTGGTCTGTGAGGGGGCCGTGAGATGCACTCTACGCCCGCGATATAGTCTTTTTCTCAAAACACACCATTAAATCACGAGACAAGCCTGTTATTCTTTATCCTTCCATTTTGTATTATCATGAAGCAATCGTACATGAAACTGAGGCTGATGGGATGGATTTCCTAACCGCTAAACCGTTTAAAGGAAAGACCCGCAGTCACTGTCTATCTGTTGGACGTGAGAATATTTTGTCATATTCGAGGTCGACTATCCTATGCCCAGGTTTAACTCGAGACAAATTTGTTTAATAATGAGTTCTTTGGAATCGTTTGGCCCTTCATAATATCGATAGACAGGTGCACAGTTTGGTTCGTAAATAGACTGGGATGGATTCCTTATGAAACTGCCCGCCATTTAGTTTTTTCTATATTGAACGTTTATACCATCTAGAAGGAGCTTATTTGAAAACATTTCTTATCGCCATCTTAATTAAGATTACCTTTCATTCGTTTTGGAAGGGAATACTTTTCAGTTCAAGAGCGACCCTCCCACAATACTTTCAAAAGGCTACTTGCCAGGAAAATTCTATCATTTAAATAAAGGACTCTCTTGTACATGTGCTCAAGGATAAATAAAATTTAAAAAACTGGTCAGGACACCCTTACAATTATGGCCAAGCATATACCCTTAAATATGATCGTTGGAAAAAAGGATACTCTTAAATACGGTCATTGGGAAAAAAAGGGTACTCTTAAAAATGGTCATTGTAAAAAAGGATACTCTTAAACATAATTATTTTAACAAAGGAAAATCTGGAATACGCATTTTTGGTCATCTGAAAAAAATGATAGTCTTAAATATGGTGATTTGAAAAAAGGTTACTCTTAAATATAATTATTTCAAAAAGGATACTTTTAAATATGGTTATTGGAATAAAGGATACTTTTAAATAAGGTCTATAAAGAAAAGGATACTGTCATTTGTAAAGAGGATACTTATAAATATGGTCCATAGAAAAAAGGATACTCTTAATTACGATCATTCCGGTCAATAAGGTTTTGGTTAAAAAAAAGGTCCTTTTCACTGGATGTGATCTTAGCTTTAATTTGAAAGGACCTTTAAAGCTTAGATCACATCCAGTGAAAGGACCTTTGAAACTAAGATCACATCCAGTGAAATGGCCTTTGAAACTAAGATCACATCCAGTGAAAGGACCTTTGAAACTAAGATCACATCCAGTGAAAGGACCTTTGAAACTAAGATCACATCCAGTGAAAGGACCTTTGAAACTAAGATCACATCTAGTGAAAGGACCTTTGAAGCTCAGATCACATCCAGTGAAAGGACCTTTGAAGCTTAGATCACATCCAGTGAAATGACCTTTGAAGCTTAGATCACATCCAGTGAAAGGACCTTTGAAGCTTAGATCACATCCAGTAAAAGTATTTTCTGTTTGATCTGTCACTTCGACAGAAGGCGTCCCTCTGAAGCGTGTAAAGGAATGCGGAGTAGCCGGAGTTATATAAAGATCACAACACTCAAAAGGACACTAAAGTAAGCTTATTTTCTCTTAGATATTACATGGACAGAAGGCGTCCCTCTGAAGCGTGTGAAGGAATGCGGAGTAGCCGGAATATTACAAAGATCACAACACTCAAAAGGACACTAAAGTAAGCTTATTTTCTCTTAGATATTACATGGACAGAAGGTGTCCCCCTGAAGCGTGTGAAAGAGTGCGGAGTAGCCGGAGTATTACAAAGATCACAACACTCAAAA